AAAAATAAAGCAGACCATGCTGCAAAAGAGGTGTTGAACTAACCAGGTTTCATCAAGCTGAAGTCAAGCCGACTGAAAGAGTTGGTGATGGTGAAGTGGAACCAAATATAGATATTAAAGCAGAGCAAGAGAAAGACCCATGCGTAAATCCCATGATAGTTTAACAGGAGGACATCTCGGAGTTAAGAAGACATTTAGTCACCTACGACAGAGATTTTACTGGATAGGTATGACGCAAGATGTGGAAAAATGGTGCAGGACTTGCAGTACATGTTGTGCTAAAAGGGGACCCAAGCATAAGGGGCGTGCTCCGATGAAGTTATATCAAGTTGGCGCACCAATGGAAAGAGTAGCTGTTGACATTGCTGGTCCTTTGCCCCAAACTCGTGCGGGAAACAGGTACATTTGTGTGTGGTGATGGATTATTTCACCAAGATTATTTCACTACATGAGCTGTCTTAAGTTTTAATGTCGCTAAGAAATAGCTCGCCCCCCCCCTTCCCCATTAGCTCGGCAGTAAGTTTGTAGACATACATATTAATACTAAGTATTTGAATTTTATGATTAATATTTATTTTTTAGAGTCAGAAAAGACCATTCCAGCCTGCGAATGAGAAACAAAATCCCATTTAAGTAATTAGTAACTTTTCCGCTACCATTTATTTCCCTAGTAATGAACAGTAATAGATGGCAGCAGAGTGTTATATGAGAAAGGGATTTATTTTTCGGAAAGTGTGTTCGCGTAAACCAGGTAAAATAAATTAGATAACTACATTTTTTAAATTCTTTCTTCACTTTGTGTGTAAGATTGAAAAAAAAAAAAAATTCAGTCATCTTTGGTGCTCAGTAAATGTGACTTGATTGTGTTCTAATAAACACATATTGGATAGGCCTAACTTTCGTTTTTACTTTTAGTTTACTAGTTTTAGACTTCAAGTTCAAACTATTTAAAGTTTTACCTATATCAAAGTCTTAATAGCTAAATAAGTTAAAAGCCTCAACGTTTCAATTTATAAAACCCCAAAAGATAAAATAATCAACGTAGGGCAAGGCCAAAGTCTAAAAGAAGAAGGTTAGTAATAATTTTGTTGAACTAAAAATGTACTTATAAAAATATAAGTTTATTATTATATAGCATAGTCCAAATAATATTCTAATTTGGTAGAAAACAAACTAGAACTTAGAAGTAAAATTAAGAGCTATTTCAAATTTAACCTTTATTTATTTACCGAGACGTGTATTGAGTTTAGCGTAGTTAAACTTAACCTTATGCTTTAGTTTACGAGTTAATATTTTCTTGAAAAATATTTAGAAAGCGTAAATTGAGAAGGGAATGGCAAAGGGCAGTGTTGGTTTAAGTTTAAGTAGAAAAAAAAATAAACTCAAATCTAGTTTAATGATGTTGGCAAACTTTTGTTCTGATTTTAATGAAAAAGGTATCCCGAGAGTGTCAGAACTATTCAAACTTTCAAAGTCCAAAGCTGCCAATACATGTCATTATGAGAACTTACCCAAATAAGAAAAGTGTTATTTACAAAACTTCATAACTCTGGGTTTACAAACAAACCACTGTACCAAATGACATGCCTAATTTATTTTAGGACCATAAACACTTGGAAAGTATGCAGGATGGACCAGAAAGTCCTGATATGAACTCTCATGAATACATATGAGAGGCAACTTGTAGCCAAATGACAATGATTAGTATGCCCAACAGGAATCCAGGATTGTTTGCTTATAATCTGTAGGAAAGTATATAGATAAGGGTACAATTGAAAGTTGGACTTGTTTCATCCTTATAGACTACTACTAATACAAACCGTATGGGATTTTAGAAGTGGTCTGAACCTTTATTTATGATAATCAGTATATACCATATTTAATTAAAGTGTTCAGGTTATGAGGACAAGAGTTTATGTGAACTTAGATTTGCGCACATGTTAGGTTTGAAGATTTCTTGACTTGTTACTATTACTAGTAGTATTGGAGGTGCTTTTTGTTATTTTTAGATATTTTTGCTAGTTTTGTTAGATATCAATACAAATAACAAACGAAAAATAACCCATATAAAAGCCAGTGTGTGTCACGTGTGCTTGATTTCTCAAAATAGGAGGAGTCATAAAAGCAAAAATGCATTTTTCCAGATAGAATAGTTCAATCACTACCTGTCCATTATTATTTTAATGATGGAGGTGCTGTGAAACCTTATAAGTATAGTGAGTGTTGGTGTAATAAGCCTAAAGTAAAGATGTAGTGCGGGATCTTATTTTGCAACTGCCTCGATTAGACTTTTCTGCCTCTTTGTTGGTCAAGTTTGATTTTGCAAAATCTATTTATTTCAGTTAGCTATGAAATGCGAGGTTAAGGTATACTATGGGGTGGGGTGATAGTACTTACTCCATTATTTTCTATGGGTTATATGCTAGTAAGTAACATAAAATGCAAAAATTTTTAATTTAAGTTTTAAGTCTAAATATTCGATGACGAGGAACCCACTTTGAGACTAATAATGTTTGGAGATGGGTATTTAACAATAACTTTAATATAAGTTTAACAAAACCTTGTCAAAACGTTGTACATTTGCTGTTTTGTTAAACTAGTATTAAAGTTTTTCTTTATTACCCATTCAAGCCGTCTCCAAGCATTATAAGTCTAAATATGTTTTCAGACCATCCCATAATTATCTCAGGTATCAGTCATATAAGGGCATTAGTCTAACAACATTATCTCAAATCAGAATTGCAAAGAATGAAAGTTATTAAAAATTTCATATATTACATTGCAGAAAGATGATAGAGTGAAACTTATAATGGTTGGAGATGACAAAACCTTGTCGAAACGTTATACGTTTGCTGTTATGTTTAACTTATATTAAAGTTTTTCTTCATTACCCATTCAAGCCATCTCCAACCATTATTAGTCTCAAAGTGGGTTTCTCGTCATCGAATGAGAGTGAAACTTGTTCAAATTCAAAGTATCGGACCCCTTATCCTTTTCTATTGGTATAAAAATTAATAGAGAAATATAAAAAATCATTGTAACTGTGATTGCAAAAAAAGTATAGTGATTGGTATGAAATATATTAGTGATATGTAAATTCCATTGGTATAAAAAAATATAAAAAATCATTGTAACTGTGATTATAAAAAATGTATAGTGATTGGTATGAAATATATTAGTGATATGTAAATTATTATGAACTTAATAGCTATTATATGAAAACTGTTACTTGCAATAAAAATCATTACCACTGTTGTAGTATGAATATAAAACGAGATGTTTTTCTTCCTAAGACTAAAAAGCTGCCTTTTGAACACTAAAATTTTATATTTTGATTGCAAGATAAATCCTAATAGAAAATTTTAAAAGTACTTATAGTTAAACCAACAGAAATACCATTGGATTGTCTGTAACACTTGTCAGCTTCTTGAGTCAACTTGCTTCCTTCTGTATGTATGAAAAACAGAATTACACAGTTTTGTGTCTTAAAACATATCTTTGGACAAGTAGTAGCTTTTAAAAAGAACTGTAAATGTTATAAAAAGTTAAAACATTTTGTATCAGTAAACAAACCATATTCTTGCATTTGTTTGCAGAATAGATTTAGATTTCTTTTGTTTCAACAAATGTTGCAATGGATTCAGTTTGAAATAGAGTAGGTCCAATCGTAGATGATAAATCACTGTTTATGTAGATACATTTTCAAGAGTTATAATGTTTTTTAATTTGTGCTGATTGATCATCCTGTTTATATTTACTCTCCATTATATGTTTCTCCATTCAGTTTGGTTCTTTAGGTATGTCCTCATGTCAGAATTTACTAGCAGCTTTTGAGCAGTAGTTTCAGAAGTCATAATTAACATTATGATTCTAGATGGGACATATTACAAAATTAATGATCTGGCTTCTGTTTTATTGGCATAGTCAACCATATAATTTTAATATTATTTTAGATAAGTCACAGACTTTGATAATGTACTTCATGAGAGGTGTATTACTAATACAAAGCTTGGTTCTCATAAAATGATTACACAGGTTACACGTAAAAAACTGGCTTGAAAGTAGAATGTCAAAATAATTGAAGTTTTGATTTTTCAAAAGAAAAATAATTCACACTACTGAGTACTGAACCCTTTAAGTATTGGGATAGTGACATGTTTTCATATATTTCATTGATACTGAAATAGCAAAACTTTCTTATGATATAAATGTGATGGGTAAAACCGTTACAGTGAATATTTTCTGGAATACTAAAACTTTTAAAATGTCTTGTTACTTAGTGGTGTGATGTTATACACTTGTATTGTGGAAACTTTGAAGATTCTTTCTTGACATTATAAATAGAGCAATGTCATCTCAACAGCCTAGTACTATAGTATTATGTAAACCAAGAAGTATTTTTAATTATAAAGACAATAGTATGTCATATGGCAAGTATAATTAATTATAATCGTACCTTGCCAGCTAAAAAAAAGGCTTTCACACCATTAAAATAGTACTTTTGTCTATGAATAAAAGTTAGGTCTTGGCTTCAATACTTATCCATATTCTATAACACTAAACTTGTAAAAATATTTCTAAGTATACCATTCATTTACCTAAGGAGATTTACCATGGAAGTTAAGATGAACTCCTAACAAAATTTATATATGAATCATGTTCTGTAGTTTTTTAATAATTTTGGAGAAAACAAAATGAACCTGTAGATGTGGCCCAAATTTCTGAATATAGGTGGTATTTAGTATTTGCTTTTTGGACCTGTTTTTAGCACTTCAGCATTTAAGAGGCCTTACCAAAACTGTTTTATATGGGTACAGAAAGCTTTGTACTTTTAAGTTAATTATTTCTGTGACAGTATCTCACCTCCTCACACAGTTTAGCTGTCTTTCTTGTGCATCTGCATGAAATATTTGCATGCTACTAGCCTTGAGGCAACCCCCACCTAATTGTGATTTAATGTGAATTGTGCTGGTGCATGATGAAATCATCATACAACAAAAGCCCTCCATTTATTGAAGGATGACAACCTCCTTGTGCAATAACCCCTCTTATACACTTGCACTCATGGTAACTTCATTATTTTTGATGTGCTTCTTCAATTTGCTGATGTTTGTACTGGGTGATGAAACTTGAGTTTCATTATACTTTGGACCTTGTCCTCCTTTGGCTTTATTTTTTTAACAAGAATTCACAAGTTAATGGGACTTTTTCTTGTGTGAGTGGAGAAATTTCGTATACTGGACATATTTCATCTATGGTTCAGGAGGATTGTTAACTAAGAAAGACATTATGGCCATTATGCATGCTGGACCTTCATTTCCCATCCATTCTTCAGGTGTGTTCCTTCTCCTCAGTTTAAAGCTGAAACTAAGGAAGACAAATTCAATTACCTATTTCTTCCTGAATTTTCCCTACATACATCACTACCAGTCAAGGAAATCTCTGAACCTTCCATGTTATTTCAAGATTTGATCTCACAGGTATATTCTGTTCTTTCAATTTCTCCCATGCCTTGTTGCCTGTTTCACTCTCCAATGCTCAGTTTTCTCATTTTTCTTACTATTCTCCAATACCTCTCCTCCTTGCACCTTATGTCTGAGGAGCTTCATTTGCCCCAGATGACTTTTCAAGGGAAGTTATTCTATTCTCTACTATGCCTCTTTCTGCCTTTTCCATCTTCTCTCTACTTACCTGGTTCCTCTGCTATTGGGACTTGTTAGGTAGGGATACCCTCAACTCTCAGTATGGCTG